CCTCAAGAACTGTCCAAAGTCATTCAGAAGTGGCTTAAAAATGGCTAGGCAACTGTACATAGATAAATGTACAACGGTAATATATTGTAGATAAATGTATATCAAAATGTAAACAATAAATTATCTACACACTTTTAAATAAACTCTTCACATGCTCAATAACCCCAACCAACTAATTTAATATTTAATCGCACAGATGTTCACTTTAAGAGCAATCAAAGTTAATTATTGAACGGCATGTCAAAACCTCCTTCCACCGACAAACCAAACCAGTTCAATGTGAGCGACATTGATTGTTTTTACTCTTGATAACTGCACATAGATTTTCTGCAAACAACGCCAAGTCGATCACCTTCCGGTGAGTTGTTAGATGACAACAAAAAAAAAAGAAAATTATAACGGAGTGAAACATTGAAAGATCCGTTATTTGGCAGAAAGAAATAGAGTTTTACTTTCATTTTGAATATTATAATGTTACAACAACATAATCTTAGACTAAATGTTCGCTAAAACAGTGAAGTAAGAGCAGAGCAAGATGCAAAACAAAACTAAGTATGTAAGTAAATAATAAAACAAAATAATTGTCGGTGTAAAAGTTGTTACACAACTCCACATTTTGCAACGGATCTCAGTGCAACGTGAATTAAAGCAACTTGCGAGTATTGTTAAAAGTATACATATCGGCATATTCATTTATACACTTACATATATGTATATTTCTATACACATATATATATGTATGTACATATATATTTATACATAAAAACAATATATACGTAGCAAGGGAAACGGTAAAACAATTGGCCGCGAGTAAGCAACGTGCATTAATTGGATGGTGAGCAAGTCTTTATATTAATAGTTGTAAATTTAATCTAGATTATTACTCGTAAAGTTATGGTATATACATTAGATAGGTATAATTAGATGCACATGACGGTGTGGTTGTACTAAGCGTATGAGTGATATTTTTTCTAAGTAATATTTTATGTACATACTTGTATGGTAGTACATATATTTGAGCTGAAATATGTGTGAAATGGAAAGTTGGAAATCACTATATCGGATATGTTGAGGTTAGGAGAAAATCTGGAACAATTGTATTAACTTTTGCCATTACTTAAGTATACTCTAGAACATGTTTCCAAACAATTTTATGAAGATACGCTAAAAACGCTACAAAAAAAAGAATGACAAAAAAAAGGTTACCTTCGGCTGTACCGAAACTTAATACCCTTCACAGATGCATTTTTATAGCATAAAAGGGTATAAAAAGATATTTTTCTGATGTTAATCGGTTCTATTTAAACAATTTGTCTGAGATATTAGCGACGTCTTGGATAATAATCCATGCGAAGTTTTGTGAATATATTTATCTCCTCAAATAAAAATCCTTGGTGAGAAATGGACGTGTGCAAAATTTCAGTTCAATATCTCAAAAACTGAGGGACTGGTTTGCGTATATATGTACATACGGACAGACCAATTGACATGACTAAATCAACTCATCATTTACATATAACCGTATAGGGTTTCTGATTTTTCATTTTGGAGAAGAAATTTGAACATCGAAATATATAAGGTCCTAAAAAAGTTGGAGTCAATTCAGGAGACTAGCAGAAGATAAAAATAAATGGAACAGTTGTCATTGTCGCCCTTTGCTTCCCCGGATATATCCCACATAGGATAAATATCCAATATATTAAATATCCAATTCACTTAATACTGCTAAGACTCTCAAATATTACGCGATATACATTCAACTGGATGTTAGAAATTCATATATTAGATAAAAGGGTCCCAGGAGTAGTATTAGCTTGATTTTTCCATTTTAAGCATAAAGACACACCGTTATTAATATCTCACATATTGACCAATATATACGGTTCAAAGTCAACCGGATCTTCGAAAATGTTTACATCAAGGGCGGCGATGCATGAAATATAAAAAATAAATCGTTTTTTTCATAAATAGTTAGTTTAACATCTTAAAATTATGCCTGTAAATTTTTAGAACGAAAATCGCATTATTTATTTAAAAAAAAATACATTTAATTGTTCCGTTTGAGCTCGACGCTCGTCCATGGTCGAAACTTCAATCGCGTTTTTCTCAAAACGAATTTTTTAAAACTGGCGTGCTAGATAACTCGGAAATTTCTCAACCGATTCTTATGATTCTTTGTGGTGTTATCTTCTAGTTATACCATCAAAATGCCACAAAAAAATTCAAACCTTCATCGACCCAAAAAATGTCGGAAAAAATTTTGAAAATTTCGCCTTTTTGGTCTGAGGCGTGCCAGTTTTTTTGACTCTTTTGTTTTTTTTTTGGTATAACTAGAAGATACATGTTTCATGAACAAGCTCCAACCTTTTTTTTATTTCAGATAGCTGAAACTGAAGCTAAAAACCCCGCCAATTGATTCCTTTTGCCCCGAGAGCCTCAAGAGATCGATTGCCACGACGGCCATTTTGAAAAAAAAATTTTAAAAATCGGATTTTCATATTTCAATATGTACTTAATAAACATGCTAAGTTTCATTATCATTCATTAATTTTTTTCCATTTCAAATAAGCCTCCAAAAATTGGTTTAAATTCAGGCGTTTACATGTATCGCCCCCCTTAAGAATATGGGGTCTACGGAGGTATTGACCCGATTTTACCAATTTTCTTACATAAGGGTATGATATTATAAGAAAAATATTTACTTTGAATATAAGTATATCTCAGGTAATTATTTTTGGTAAAAAATTAGCTATAAGCACTGAGGTCCACATATGTATTTGGTATCTGGAAACTTGGAAAGTCCGATAATCTGATTTCGACTATTTTTGAACGTAAGATAATATAGCTTAGGACCATTATTTGAGTAATGGTGTATTTTTTTACTAACTTAATTGGTGCTTAATTTATATACAATAAATTAAAAGAATTATATGGTATGTTATGTGGAATTTAAAATTGTGACATATGGAAAGTAGGCGTGTTGTAGTCCGAATTGCTCAGTTGCGCAATATAACAATATAATGTCGAAAAATTATGTATTATATACATATATAAGCGATAGAACTAATATTCCTTTCAAATTTTTTTTAATCTGATAGGTTTCCGTAAGGTATCCGATAGCAAATGTGCATAATCGTTTGGTCGGCCAAGAACTGCTAACATTACAGCATTCGCCAAAATCCGTCGTGGTATTTTGTATTTTCTACAACAGTAACAATAGTAATTTTATACAGAGCTTCGAAAACTAGAAACCCTGAAAAATAATGTGCAGTAAGAAGCTATTTCTTTTTTCTATAGGTCTATTTTAAGTCGAAGAAACCCGCAAAAGTACACTAAACGAGTTTACTAAACATAATAATAACCAGCTAAGCTACGTGGAACAAAAAATATGAAACATAATAGCGAAGTAATATTTTTTTAAGTATAAAAATAAAAGTCTCACTTTACATGGGAGTATTTCTACTAAAAATTTTCCCCTCAGTGGAATAAGGCATTGTTTAAAAGTGTATCATTCAAACGGAATTGTTTATAACTTATTATAATTACAAGAAATTCAAGTGCATGCACCTTATTTATTGCATCATGGTTATACCTAATATAGCGAACTCGACTCAGTGACCGAAAGTAATTAGCGACCGGTAAGGCATAATACAAATTTCAATATTTATATGGTTACCGCGTGCTAATCTTCATACATTATTAGAGTTGTTAATACTGAGAAATATTTATACATTGTAAGATTATGTAAATGAAATTTAATCCACTATATATTATACTATTTATATAAATTAATACGTTATCTTACTTTGTGTTTAAACTTGCATCAAATATAATTACTCCATCGACCGCGTATTTCGTTTTTAATTACTAGATGAGAATAAAATGAAATCGTGTCTCATAGTGTGTAAATATGTATGTATATTATCTGAGTTTCTAGCATTTTGCATACGTTGTTTCAGTTCATTGCTTATCAAATTGAAATTCAATGCACAAAAATGATAAAAAAAAGATGGAGAGTTCGAAGAGAATTACACATATATACACATCTGTTAATATATAGTACAGATGTATACTTACACGTTCATATGTTTTAGTGCAGTGAGAAATAGGTGCTAAATGCTCTCGACAGCGTAGATACAGAAACAATTTAAAAAAAAACAATGACTTCTATCATTTATAAAGGGTGTACCAAAATTAACGCAAGATTTAAATGTGTCGCCATTTATGTAGTAAAGTATTGACAACTCTAGAAAAAAACAAATCGACAGCTGACAGTTTAACAGTTTAGGCTTAGTAAAAATGGCGTGTTACACGATAGAACAACGATAGATGTGGCCAATATGTTTGAACAACACGATATCACATGTCATACAGCCCGTGAAGCACTTCAATTAATTCATGAGGCATTTCCAAGTCGTGTACTCTCTCGTTTTGGTGATCAGAATTAGCCTCCAGATCGTGTGATTTAACACAATCAGGTTTCTTTTTATGAAGTTATTTAAAATCACAGGTCTATTGCAATAAGCCCACAACCACACGTGCTTTTAAGGAGTCGATTCAACGTCGCATCAATGAAATTCAGCCGCATTTACGCAGAATAGTCATGGAAAATTTCGAAAACGAGTGCGTATGTGTATGGAAAGCAGTGGAGGCGATTTGCTCTTTATGATTCAATAAAAAAGTTACAATCGAAAGACTAAAAATTGTATTTTCTATTTAATTCCAATTTTGCTTTAATTTTGGGACACCCTTTAGAAAGTAGCAAACGAAGCGAACACACTCAATGCAATATTCGCATTAGTAAAGTAATGTTAAATATGAAAGCCTTTAGCAAAACGCCGTTAAATAACAAGAATAAACGTCAAATAAAAGAACGAACGAATATTCGTTTGGTGACGTTTTTTTTTTTCTCATTTAACATCAAATAAGGAACGAAGGAATATTCGTTTGGTAATGTTTTTATGTATTTATATAAATTTTTTCCTTGTAAAACAAGTCTCTAATGTTAGGCAATACGCCGCTAATTTTATTTCGGCTTTAATTGTACAAGACTCATGAAAAGTGAAAGGGCTAAGTTTATGTTGGCTCTGCATACAGCTGGTCGGCTTAGACGTCTATTATTATCTTTCATCTTAGGCGAGCGCTCAGCTATGTCGACCAAGGCAAAATATCAAATTGAAGAGATGAATATAATTTTGGAGAACTTTAAACAAATCTAATGCTTGATTATTTGATATAATACCCAAAAGGAATTTTTTTCTTATTTTTAATTATTAAAGAGACGAAATACTAAGGCTTGTTATTAGCTACTATCATAATTTTCCAAAGTTGGTCTAAGAAAACCGATTCTTTAACATCCGATAGTGTTAGTTTATCAGCGACTGGTTTATAACGCAAATATTTCTTATCAGATGATTATTCCAATAAAAAAGATGGATAGACGGTACTGATAGAATTACTGCCACGTCAAATGAATTTAAAAATGGTTACGTCGTATTTTGGCTAACTTTAAATATTTAATAGTTTGTGTGTTTCAGTTTCAACTCACGTTTGGATTTTAAAAATATTTAATTTTTTAACATTCTAACTATTATATTTTAGTGTTTGTTTGTTTCTTTTTCATCCTTGGACCGAAAACAAAAATATTTGTAATTTTATGCGGCCGACATGGTGTAGTGGTTAGAGGTACAACTTCTCTAACTTCGATTCCACTTCCTACTAGCGGCGTCTTTGTGCCATAAAAAAACTTCTCATAAAATTGATTAAACGTTCAGAATTGGCTTAAAACTTGTATGTAGTTCTCTACAGTTGTCGGACAACATCAAAGCGCGCTTAATCTTGGCACCATCTTATCTGAATTCCCCTGACAGCTATGTTTTCAGAGAGGCTGCTTTATTGAGTTCCAAATAGCCGCAGTAACGCAGTTAACGAACGCAAATTATGCTATAATAAAAAATAGCTTGTTATCAAAAGAAATATGGAAGAGTTTCTTAAAATCTCTTACAGATCTTCTAAACATGTTTGAAGCGCATCGTCGAACAAATAATACCATTTCGAATTAATTAAATAATAAAGATTTCTATTAAAACAATAATTTCTGTAAAAGTTCTGGTTAAATTTAATGAAATGGTTTCTGAAAAAACAACTGAACATATATTTACTTTTCATAGTTAGTGTAATGGGCCAATATATATTTGCGTATCTTGGATATACTTCGGAACGTAAAATAGTTTTCGTTCCTACGACAATCGGGTCAACTTATCTGTAACGCTTTTTATTTCCGTCCAACGACTGTCCATACGGCAGCAGTTCGTAATATTTGAGAGGAATGTTTGCTGCCGCCACAACAACCAAAAAGTATGATAATGGAAAGTCTTTCATCGAGAATATGAACGGACAAGTCATCCTGGATCCTGAACGGATATATTACCTCTTCCTTGCCAACGTGAAGAAAAGCAGCATCATTGAACTTCCTGAATATTTATGTAATCTTATCTGTATTAACTGGTATTCAACTTACGCTTTCCACAGAGGATTTTACTTTTTTTATCCACTTATGTGGATAAATCTACTTAGAGGCATTTTATCAGCGTTTAGAAAAAATAAAATAAGTTGCATGAAAAATGTTCTTCGTTAATCTTTATGAATATTACCGTAATATCTTAAAAGCCGTAACTACTTTCAATTTCCAACTCGGCAATGACTAAGTGTGCAAAAAGACAGCACAGCTGTTGTTGTTCTGCTTTTTACGCTCGGTCGAGGAGGTCGGTTGCAAATGATAGCGACAAAGCATAAGTAACTATTATTATATACACGTTATCAAGCCCGTTGTCGGCGCTGGCGCAGTGCACAGCCCGACCGACCGATTGCTCTCTCATCGCCACGACAGATGGCTGGCCGCCGGTCTCTACTTGCTCTACCGTGTTTGGCGCAATTCGACTTTTCGACGTTGCCGGGCTCTGCTACCAGCTACGAATATATGTAGGTATGTATGTATTTAGCTCTACTTGCATTGGACTTGGTTGACGCGTTGTCGCTGCGCTGTTACATTGCCGAATTAGTTAGCGAAGTGAGACAACTGCGGCTGGACGTGGGCGCAGCTGTGCGATTTTCGGTTCAAACATTTTCAGATTGTTATACGTATATTAATGCTTGTAATAATATGAAATTTTCCGGGTTTGAAGTGATTTAAATAAATTTAGGTAATTTTCAAAGACACATTCGAAAATGTTCGTCTCGAATTAAGAAAGAGAAATTAGAGAAATAGAAATTACTGCCAGTTAATAAGCTTCTTCGCTTTGTTGTGGGTGTTAAATATACTTGTACTGGCGTATAACTGTTTTTGTGACAGTCTAATTTGTTAGAGGAATAAATCGAAATAAAATAAAAATCGTGTTGGTTAGTACTCGCATTTGTTTTGATGTACTCATGCCTCGGTGTCTGTATGTAATTGAAGGAGTCGTGCCATTTCGTAGTGTTCCTAAGTAGTTAAATGTCAATTATTCTTTGCCAATTGTTTTGTGAGTATAAAGTTAAATGCCAAAATGGCGTTTGCAAAAGCACCGTGAGCAATTTAATTGCATTTGTTGTTGCTTTTACAGTTGTGTCCCTCAACTGCATAGCATTTCGATAATACATATAATATGTGCTAGTATATCTCTGACAGTAGCTGAGAAGGTGCTCTATTTTTTTACTGCTTGTTTATGTTGTTCGTTTACTTTTCTTTTTAATTGCTTTTTGTTGTGATACCTCGAACCAGTTTTGCATAAATTCTGTTGACTAAAAAAACCTTGCGCGCTTCGCAGTTTTTTGTTGTTTTTATTTTCATCATTTATTTATTACTTTTTCTTCTGTTACTGTTTCTAATTGAACATATTCAGTTTTGGAGTTGATTTTTGCTGAGACCTTTAGACCTTCGTTTGCATAAACAAATAAGTAATCAAACCGCTGAATCCAGTTCATTAAACTATACGAACAAACAAACGAGCATGGCTAGATGGACCCATATTGTCATGCTGATCATTTATATAAGTACATTGTATATATATTTTATAGGGTGTTCTAGGTGTTACAAATTTAATATAACCTCTTCAGTGTATAACAAGAGAAATTAAAGAGTGGGTATATTCACCATTTTATTAAAATTGACCCGGGCCAGTCCATATAAACTCCGCGCGCAAACCGAATCAATACATATTTTTTTCCTTGATTGTACAGCCTTTTTTTGCTGCTTGTTTGTGGCGCGAAAGGTTTGTCTCGCGATTTTTACCAAGGAAAAAATTTCAACAACTAGTTTGATTGAAATTTTGTGTTTCCAATGGAATTACGGCTATCGTTGAAAATGTTAGGGAGTCTACTTTATGACGAACAGAAGTATTTGAGCAGAAAGCATTCAGTGAGGGTCGTTAGGTCAACGAAAACTTGGCTCATGTGAGTCGTCCATCCATTTCTGTAATTGACGGTAACATCGAAAAAGTATTTAAAAATCGTCGTGTTGACATTAGACAACAAACCTTTTATGGATCGACTTCATAATTTTGGTTAATATTTTGGGTATAAAGCTTCGAGTCGAGGTTGCAAAAGCGATGCTTCGTAATGTAGCTGAGAACCCTACATTCATCAAACGCACCATAACTAAAGGAACTCAAGTCCAACCCTGCAGCGAGGCTTATAATAAGTGTATTAATTAAGCGTTGGCATGCTTGTATTGGCTCAGGCGTCTTTGAAAAATTATAAGCGCGATTAAAGATTTGAATTTAATGTTTTCTTGTCAGTCCGGTTTATATTTGATCATTGGTATTTAAATAGAAACTATAAACTTGACAGCAACAAAAAATACTTTCGATTGATTTTCCTTAATACAAAAGCATACATTCCTCTAACTTCACTACATTAAATCATTTTCTAGAAGGAAATGCCTGATATTATCTTATTTTATTTATAATATACTGCTTTCAACTAATTTTTTTTATACTTCAAATGAAGCTTTTTACATATTTCATAGAATTTCGAACCTACAATAAATAAAAAAAGTTGAATATTTTTAATAATTTCCATAGAAAAATTACAAAAAAAAAATGACGTGTTTTAAAACACTTTTTCAATTGAAACAAATTGCAAAAGACTGAATTATTTAATTAATAATTTAATAATCACTTTTCATTCGATTTATGTACATTAATTGCTTTGATTAATATGTGGATTTTTGCATTTTTAATTGCAGAGCATTTACGGCATTTATAATAGATTTGAACTGTGACTTCGCTATGAAAAGTAAACATTTATGGCAGGCACTGTGATAGCAAGCAATAGCAAGCAGATAACAAAGTACTTTGACCTTGACAGCCATGAATGATTGATAAACTTCCCAACGTATTGCATTGTATTAAAAGTGAACAATATAAATGTACATATATATATATACATACAAACAAATGCTGTAATTTACCAAAAAATAATTACAACAAAATTAATGTAATTTTTACAAAATCCTACAAGTGTAATTGCTTTAAGTGTGTGACAGAAACCGATAATTTCGTTATAAAAATAACCATAAGAATCAAAACAAAGTGTGAATCATTGCAATAATCGTCAGTGAAACGATAATAACTGCCGTCCAAAGATCTTTAGCCGCTGGTTCAACAGTAAATACGCGCATCCACACGTGTTATTCAATCTCCGTCCCGCAAACACCGGTCGACACGTATTTTGAACGCATCCGTTCGCACGTTCGCTACAGCTTTGCGAACACTTTTTCGACGAGCCGTCCTTTTCGTTGTATGGCCAGCGCGATTATACGCAGTGTAGCGGTACATTCACGACCTGCACTCACGATCCATCTGGCCGATTGTATTTGCATCAATAACGGTGTTTCGTCTGAATGCTCATCACCTTATCGACCGAAAAGACTGCCACCGGTGGCGCCTTATAAGCCACCCCCACTAGACGACGAGAGCTTTGATTTTAGCGCTTCTAAAACTTCGAAAATATCATCACCACTATGCGCATGCCTCAATTGTACTAAAACAGCACCATTCTGTTTTGATCGTTTCAAAAGTGACATTATCTCGACATCAACAGCTGTGGACCTTCGCAAGGATAAAACTCTGCGTAGCGATCATTTACAAGCGATTGTGGAATACAGTTCGGTGGAGGAAGACGCAGCGGCATTGGGTGCACTCAGCAAGAAACAATCTCCGCTCTTCGGCAGAAAAAAGCATAACGATTCGTCAGCAGCTACGCTAGCGCAATCATTTTCCTTACGTACCGAGGAACCATTCTATGCTCAACAGATTATAGTGGGGCCAACAACAAAGAACGGTAGTGGTGAACAGAAACATATAAAAAATCAACATAAAATCGACCATAACGCTGTCGAAGCAATCAGCATGAGCGTAGGCGTGGCAAACGGCGCGGCTGGAAGCCCAAATAACGGCACCGATATAAATCGAAATAACGGACAGTTGCGAAATGGGGTAAGTTAGATCTAGATATAGAATAGATTTTATGAAAATTTCATATATATAGTACATACATATTTGTAAACTCTGAAGTCAATTTTAGAAGTAATCTATTTGAGTATTTACATACATATACAATATCTTAGAATTGACTCCGTTGCCTTCGTATACACCATATATAGGCAAAACTTTCATTTTTTTCTGCATGATACATCTAATTGCTATAGTTTGCGCGCACTTCAAACTTTATCAATGTCAGTTCATATCTAACTCGATCATTGATTAGATTCCAAACAATGTTAACACAACTGCAGTCACAAAGAAATTTTCACAAATGACTTGCGGAATATACAGTTAAAATAATAGTGATTCATCGCATTTTATTCGTATTATTTTATTTTATTGTATAATTCAGGAATTTTGTATGCTTTTTCGATAAGCTCATGTAGTATTGTTATTATTAAACAATAAAACAAAAAACAAACCTCTGTGTAGAATTAATTTCTATCTATTGACAGTTGACAATTGGTTTTGTCAATTGATCAGCTGTTACGTTAAATGTGACTAATTTAATTTTTGTTTTCACCCGTTATGTACAAATTCAATTGCGATACTAATGCCTCTGAGCTATGAAACTTATGGGAAATAGTTAAATTTTTTGAATGTTTTGAAATTAAACTCAAGCAATATATAAAAGATTTAACAAAATCGTACTTAACTACCGACATTGAACGTTTGTATAGAGTTTTCTGGCTAGACACAATATGAATTTGGGATCGTTCCATCAAAAACATGACCACGATAATAATTTATAAAACATTTTAAGGTGGAACTTCCGTAGCTCGCTATATCTGTTTAACTTCTGATTTGATCCAATTTCTTTAAAACTCCTGAAATGTGCGTTTTCTGGAGGCTCGCGGGAAGAGATTTTTTCGGAGTCAAATTTTGAGAATACGATGGTGGGGCAACGGATCGTAACTTAATTCGATCAATTTGGTTGTCTCGGCGTGTGAGCCAGTGCTTTGTCATGATTTAAGAGCACTTTTTTCTTTGCCAAATATGACCGTTTTTTTCTGCAATGCGGAGTCGAATTTATTCAGGATAGAGCTCTGCGACCCTTCTTCTAATAATCGTTGTATATCACTCTTGGTGAATTACTGTAAATGGCCGTTTTGGCCGATAGTCCTCTTCTTCGTCGGAGCAGGTTGCCTGGGTGAATTCACTATTTCGACCGTTTTTTGGTCTCGGTTGTATACCAGTAGATTCATATTTAGTTAATGGTCACGAAATCATGCATAAACTCTGTCGGATTGCGCTTAAACAACATCAAACACTGTTGTGAAGTGGTCCTCCAGGTAATCGATGTAGATCATATGTGATGAATTCCCGTAAATGG